TGGATTGAACTACTTGGACTCAGGGAATCTGTATCTCAAAATAACGTGTGACTTAAGTTTACTTTTCCAGCTACTCACAGCAGGTTTGGAGGCTGTCAGGTACTCAGCCCGTTACAATGACACATGCATTCTCCCACACTCACAGGATCTGTTTTAATGGAGCAGCCCATCAGGCAGTCTGATTTTACCTAGTCCCAACAAAGTAGATGCCTCGAGGCCAGTGCAGGGTGCAGACCACCCCTCAGGAAGCAGAAGACGTGATGATAAGGGACTCCCTGCAGCTGGCTCAGAGAGGAGGAGAGGCAAGCTGGTGATCAGAGGCGTGGCTCTGAACATCTGGGTATCACCTTTCCCAGACATTTCAGCCACTACCAGAGTATCCATACAGTCCATCCCGCCTTGGCCTTGGTGATGGAAAATGTATGCTGGGCCACCCCTCTGTCCAGTGGATATGTATGGATGGTGCCTCCTCTTGCCCAGCGTCCTTCTTTTCCCGGGACTGGGTCGCACGGCTCAGGGGAAGGTATGAGCATTGCCCTGCACAAAATTACTGAAGAACCTGCCCATAAGCTGCTACTTATTCCATGGCCTAGAACTCATATTCAATGCCCTGGAGCAAGAGGGTTTATAGCTCTTTGGAGTTCATTTCTATTTATTCTCATTGTCTATATAAATGTCTAGTCAGGCTTTTTTAATGAATGCCTTTTCTTGTTACCCAGTGGCAATGAGTTACCTGGATCATCAGTATTTAGGATAAAAGCAATCCTCCCTGTCATTCATTTTGATTGCAGTTATTTCTCATTTTGCCTTATGTTCTGGCAGGTTGCAAAAGAAGCAAATAAAGGAGGCTCATGCCAAGCCTAGGCAGTGTTCTCAAGGACTCTGGGGTCACAGGGAATGTGACATTGGGCTTGGGTGGCATTCCTTGAGACTTTGGGAACACATAGAATACATCCTGGGGTAGCCCACGGTGGCTACCCTTAATGCAGTTCTGAAACGTAGGAAGGTGAATCCAAGGGCAACTCCCATTCACTGAGACACCCCTTGCAGAGCCACCAGGCTAAGGGAATTAGGTACTTCCCTTCCAGTGGCATTTCCAGTGGCTTCAGTCACCAGACTGAGGAAGGTTTGAAGGGCTTTTGGAGGCCGAGTGGCACTTTTGACACTAGACAGCAAAACTTAGGGCAGGATGACACAGGAATAGATTCACCAAGACCACAGCTTGTCCTTTTCTCCATCGTTCCCCAGATCTGCAACAACAGTTCCACTGTTGAGTGCACGTATTGTTGCCTGCCAGCTCCACAGAGTGGCAGATCATTGAGCTGGTGCAGATTAGGAGAGAAGAGCTACCTTCGACCTTCACCCTCTCCCTGCTTCTCTTTCGCTCGCCCCCTCCACTTCCCCGCTGAAGGCACAAACACCTACTGCCCATGGAAGCTATTTCTAAGCAATCCCGGGCATCTGGGGAATGAGGCTCTGAACAAATATTGGAGTGTGCGTGTGCAGAGAGTGCACACACATGCACACGCACAGCCACAGTGCTGCTGCAAAGTCAAATATAGACCTTGTGGAAGGGGAACAATGGCCGGGGTTGGGTTACATGGCTGTAGGGCCAGCGAGCTGCTGTTTGTTGTGGGCTGGGGTGGAATGGGAAAAGCAAGGGGGGTGAGATGGGGGAGAACATTTGTTTTAACCTAGAGACCCTGGGCTGGTGCCGTGCATAGGGCGGAGAGGGTGATCTGGAACAAGAGCTGAAGAGGATGATCATTTGAGTTGGCAGCTCAGAGGTGTTTGCAGTCTTTCTCCATTTGATTTGTGCTGCTTTTCTGCCTCCCTTGAGAGATTAGAGGGAGCAGGAAGGGGTGAATTTCTCTGAGATTCTGCACAGGGAAGAGGTTCTTTATCTCCTTGCTCCGGGGAAGGCTCCTCAGTGGAGGAGAAGAGGCAACATCACCTGTTCCCTCAGCCCAGCATCAGCTTCTTGCTCCTGATGTCTGGCTGCCTCCAAGGTGCAGGTTCCAGACGCCGGAAGAAAGAGAAGCAGCTCCAGCTGTTTTTGACAGGTAATTTCTCCCTCTGTCTGTGGGTGGTGATGGTGTGTTGGAAGGATGGCAGGGGATGGAGTCTGTGTCTGGCATGCATTGGAGGGGGAGACCAATACAGAGGTCACTCCAGTTCCCACTCCAGGTCCCTGCTTTGTGGGATTTCCTTCACCAGAGGGAAAAGCCGTAGAGGGACTCTTATGGCTAGGAAAAATCCTTCCTAATTCTGACCCAGCAGCTGTTCCATCTGAGATGCCTCTAGGGATGGCATGGCAGGGATCAGAGCCCAGTAGAGCAGGGTCTAAGCCAAGCACAGAGCCAAGCCCTCCTCAACACCCATTTCTTGGATCTGCAAATAGAGCTGCTCTGCTTGAATCATATTGGGCATCCAGGGACTGACAGAGCAAGCCTGAGACTCGGGATTGTGCCTGGGAATGGGACAGGAGCCCTTCAGTGTGGAGGAAGGAGTGCACCTAAGTTCCACATTTCTTGGGGTTTCTTTTTGGTCCCTTCTCCCTTCTCTGTACTCACTTTTTTTACTCCCCTCCATCCCTGCTTGGTTCTTTCTGTGATACTCACATGCAAACCCCAAACCCCCTGTCTTCAGACATGCCCATATCCCCTCTTCTGAAATCCCACTCTGGTTTCTCTTCTTTGTTCCCCTTCCTCGATATTCAGATCTTCAGCAACCAGCTTTAACTCCTCAGCCTGGCCGGCCCTCGCTCCATGCCATGGCTCTCACCTCCAAGAGGAGCAGCACAGGAAGAGCCACATGTCCCATTCCACTGACTGTAACCTTAACCCCATGTCCCTCTGCTGCAGCGTTCATGCTGTGGACACAGATACTTATGGATATCAAAATATGCAGGGACTCCTCTGCAAGTGCCCTCCTATCTGCCCATTCAAATGCACACACAGAGTCCAGAGGGTTTTTTAGGCACATTTAACCAAGTGAGGTTTAAGAGCACCCAGGCATGGCTGCGCAATGACACTGCCATGCAGCTTGGTCAGGACCGGAGCAGATTCCAGTAGAGGAGTGCAGTAGCAGGTGGGGATGTTGCAGGAGGTGGTGTCATATCTGAGGCAGTCAGTGTAGGTAGTAGAATTTCAAGGAGGAGATGAGGATGAGGCTGAACATCCTACACTCAGCACTGGAGGTGTCACCAGTAAAACCTTGGCCTCTAACCATGACTGGCAAAGAGTGCAAGGTAGGGTGCTGTGGGGGTCAGAGGATAAAGGTGGATTCTCCCAGGTCCTAGAACTGCAGTGACTGAAGCAGAGGCTGCCTAGTTTTAAACCAAGTACGAGGAGCTGTGCTTCACCCTCAGCCTCACCCTCTCCTTTTTGCTGTATGGTAGAAATCAGGGCTCCAAAGCAGGCTGAGCTGGCTGTGAAGGATCTGGGGCTGAGAATAAATGGAGAACCACAGAAAGCATCTTAGAACAGAGCTGGTGCACACCTAGCTCATAAATACCCGAATAGCTGATGGAGCAGCCTGAGCAGCAGGAGGTTTGGACCTCTCTGTCTGTCCCTCAGGGAACAGTTAGGTGGGGTGATGGAGACAAGAGGAGGCAGCAGGGGAAAGGAACAGTGCTCCTGGCCAACAGGAGAGCAGGAAAGAGGCAGGAGGAAGGCGGCTCCTGTGGGCAGGGTGGTAGGCCCCCATTTTATCGCTCAGTCATGTTATGTCGTCCCGACTTGCCGAGGATGGAGCAAGCAGGGGTCTACAAAGACAGCAGAGAGCTGGGCTTTGATGGGGCTGCTGGCTCTTGGGCTCTCTCAAGGTCTTGGGGCCTGCAGGGTGCGTAGTGCTGATGGGACTGTCCAGAACTGCAGAGGGCCAGAGGGGTGGGGTGTGGAGAAGGTGAGAGCAGGTATGGGTTGTGCTTTGTTTAGTGAGATGAGAAGAAATGTGGAAACATCCACTAAGCGCCTGTAGGACATAGTTCTTCTTCCTTCTTGGTGGAAAACAGCAAACCTCGTGGGGTGCAGGGGTAGAAAAGAGCTGGATGAGATGAACTTGTGATATAATTAAGGATTGCTAGGACCTTTGAAGGTGACAGATACGATCTTGTCAAGCAGCAGAAAGGCCATGCAAGGTGAGGAGGAGAATGGGCAGCTGTTCCTTCTGAAGATGTGGCAGCCCAGACCCTCTCCCAGGGTTGTCTTATTGTTCACCGAGGTGCTGGTGTCCACAGCCTGTGAGCAGCAGCGAGAGAAGTTCTGAGGACCACAGCTTTGCTGGTTGGCTTCTTTCTTGTGGGGCAACCACTCCACGTTTCACCTTTACTTTAAGGATGGGGCTTCTTAACCATACAGTTTGCCAGTGGAGGTGTGTTAGTGGCCCCGAAGACATTAGGGAGAGGTTGCAGGAGGCATTTTTGCTTATTATTATTTTTTCAGATAATCTGAGCGAAATGAAGGCTCAGATCATCGCGCACCTATTTCTGAGAGGTGGAGTGCCCCGCGGGAGGCCGGCCGCAGCAGGACCGAGCTCTACCCAAGCCAGAGGGGCGAGCGCTGCAGCCCCCCCAAGCCCAGGGCAGGGGTCTCCCCAGCAAGGCCGCGTCCCGGGGAAGGGGGGGGGGGGGCAGCAGCCCGGGACACCCCTCCATCCTCTGCGGGTCCTTCCTGGGGGACGGTACCGGTGAGCCCTCGCAGGCGCAGCCCCCCGGGTGGTGGGGGGCGGGCGGGCCGTGCTGCGACCCCCCCTCGCCCCCGGCGGCGGGAGCAGGGCAGGGGTGAGCGGGCAGGGCGGGCCGGGTCGGGGGCTGCCTGCGGTTTGGGGCGGCGGGAGGCGGGATGTCCCGGGGAGGGAGCGGGGATGTGCAGGCACACGCAGCCGCTGGCAAGCGGCCGGGGCTGCTCGGCGGCGGCGGCGGCGGCGGGCGGAGCGGCGCGGCACACGCGGCGGCAGCTCCCTCCGCAGCCCCGCGCTCCCCAGCCCCGCCGCCGCCGCACCGGGCATGGCCGCCCCCCGCCGCCGCGCCCCGCGATAGCCCCACGACCCGCCGCGTCGCCGAGGTGAGAGCAGGGGGACCGGCGGGGGGCCGGCGCTGCAGGGACCCGCAGCCCCCCGAGCCGGCCCCCCTTTCTCCGCCGCCGCCCCGGCCGCAGGGGGACCGGCGGGGCTCCGTGTAGCCTCCCCTCCGGGGACGGCCGTGGGGTGGGGTGGAGGGAAGGGCACCCCCGCGGCCGTGCCCCTGAAGGGGGCACCGGGGCTTGGAGTGGTCCCAAAGCCGCGGGATGAGGGGGAAGGGGGAAGGGGGGGCAGGAGCGGCGAGCCGCAGCGGCGCGGCATCCTCCGGGTTCCCACCCCTGCCCCCGGACACCCAGTCCGGAGTGGTCCCGACAGCCCTCAGACTAGAGACAAGGTCTGATAGCCCCCGTCCTGGGGCTGTCCCTGGTAGCCCCCAACCGTACAGAGGTCCCTAATACCCCCGAGGGGGAGGTTAATAGACCCCAGAGGCGTCCTCGCAGCCCCTGGAGTGGTGGTAGCCCCCAACTCGGCCAGGCGCAGGCGGAGAAGTGGGACAGGGGGAGCTCCCTTGCCCGTGTCCCTGCGACCCAAAGCCAGGCCTGCCCGGTGGGAGCTGCTCACACCTCTCTTGGGCACCAGCTGCCCCCCAGGATGCCGGGGTCCGGGGCAGCTCCGAAGGGGAGATGGGGTGGCTATGTCAGGATGTCTGAGAGGCTGTGCCTCGAGTGGGGAGCCGTGGGGGAAGCTGCCTTTGCAATGACATGTGGTCGGAGGCTATGCTCCTCACAGTCCTGAAGGAACATGATACTGGTTTCAACCCTAAATTATTTTATAAGTTTCATAGGAATTGCTTCACCCTTCCCTGAAATGCAGCAGCTGTTTGCCACTGCCCAGTGTTTAGGGGCAGGAGGCAAAGGAGGGTCCTGCAAGCATGGTGACAAGGGAACTGTGGATTCCACAGTGATCTGTGCTGGGATTTGGCTGGGGCAGTGACAATAACATTCTGCAGCCCCTCTGAAAATGCTGCATCTTTCATAGGTGATGGTTTGTTTGCTGGAGAGATGCTTAGAGCAACATCCTTGCTTTTGAGAGCTATGGTTTAGACAGGTGAAGCTCTTAGCAGGGACCCCAAAACCTCTTCCTGCAATGCATGTATATGTATAGGTGGGTGGGAGGACTTCTGTCCCCGTCTGAGAAGTCTTTCATGCAACTATGGACCCAGAACAACCTTCCAACCTAAAGAGCCAAGCTGAAAGTGGAATGGCCCCCGTTCATCACACCCACGCAGCTGGATAGAGTCTGCTTCATACCTTCACCATTCTCCTAGCAGAACTGTTTAACCCCTCCCATCTCATTACAGTAATATATTTATGATATCACCCTCGAATTTCCTGCCCTTAACAACTCCAGAAGGCTGGGAGGGAATGAAGCATTTTTGGAAAGTATTTAATGTTACTTTGAGAGGGCAGGAGGCAGCCGGAAAATAGATGGGTGCAGGAACCTTGGGCTGACGGGGGCTCTCTGCAGGACAGCTGAGGAAAAGGACTACACCTAGTGAGAGGTGCGTGTTTGCCTTTCCTCTCTGGGGCTGCAGCCCAGTTCTAGTGCCTGTCACTTCACTCTCTTGCTTGGACAATGGAGGAGGGCTGCCTGCTCATCTGCTAGATCTTACTCGACTGCCTGCTCTCCTGCAGGGTTCAAAAAGCAGCCTAGGTGCTGTAAAAAAAGACTCAGCCCATCTATTCATTCAAAAATGCATAGGAGGGACCTCATTTAACGTGAAGCTGGAGCCTCCCAGATCTAAGGAGGGAAGATGAAGGTCTCCACAGCTGGGCTGGTATTTCTGGAGGTTTCTGCTCGCTTGACAGCAGCTAGCAGGGGCAGGTGCTCCAAGATGTAGTGTAACAGCTTGAGCTACTACATACTCAAGATTGAATGTGCACACTCAGTTCTCCTGTACATACATTTTTAAAGGCTTTTTGATTCTTGGTGCTCCAACACTGCCTTAGAGGAAGGAGTCTAGAAGGACAGAGAGGAGTGTGGTGACAAGTCTGTACAAAACTGTATGTTTCAACTCAAAACTCCCAGGTAGCAGATAGGAAGGGATGTGTGAAGTGAAGCCGTGGTGCGAGCCAAGGGGTTTTGCTCTTTTTCTCTCTGTAGGTGTTCATCTCGGTGGGGCCACACTGACCATGCTGAGGAGCTTCTGTCTCCAGCTCATGTCCTTGATTTGGATCCTCTTGGCCCATCACCAGCTTGTGCAAGGTGAGTCTCTGTAGAAATGCATCGTTCTCTTTTATATGCATCTTTCCAAACCTGCCCTTGGCATCACTGAAGTCTCCTCAGTTTTCCATGCAAAATAGAACTGGCTTGACCTGTAAGAGTGGAAAATGCTGCTCAGTCATCGATCACCTGGGGGGTGACTGGTGGCAACTTTAGAGACCCTTGCTCTGGTGACCACAGGGGTGGCAGTGCCTGAGCAGACTGGCAGTGAGAGGTCCTGCTGCTCTGTCTCAGTGTGAATGGGTTCCTGAACTGATGAGCCTGTTTGAGGAGGCAGGGCAAGGGGAAAGAAGGTCCCAAAACTGAACAGCTAATCCTGGATCCAGTGAGACAAAATTCCTTCCCAAAGATTAGTTTACTGTCCCCCTGCCAGGAGAAATGATTACAAATACAAAAGGTGATGATACCCAGGCTTGGGGCTGAGCAGTCCCAGGATGCTGCTCCAGCTCCACAGTGGCTCGTTTTGTGAGGCTCTTGTCCTGAGCAGTGGGACCTGCTGCCTCACTGTAGCAAAATCACATGCATGGAAGATTTCTTTTCCCGCTTGCTTTCCTAGGCAGCACAAAATGCTGCTTGGGGAAAGCCTGAGCACTGCTCTTGGCACGGGGGCTTTAACCTATCTCAGTCCAGGATGGAGGAGCTCAGTCAGGTAAGAGTGTTCATCTCTTGGGCCTGGCCTGGGATTGCACTGGGCTTCTGGAGAAACTTCCTGCTTTCTGATATTTGCTCTAGTTCTACTGCTCATGGAGCTAAAGTGAACCAGCTCCCAGGTGGAGCCAAAATGCAAGCAAGTGATGGGGGAGAGGGGAAGGTGGAGATGAAAGGGGACACCTGGCTGGAGAAAGCAGGCCAGCACCAAGCAGAGGACGAGAAGTGGCACGGCTAGGCCATGGCTCAGTTACAGCCTCTGAGGCCTTTAAATAAATAAACAGAACTGGATACCTGGCCCCATGTGATGCCCAGTCCTGCCTCCCCATGCTGGAAGGGGAGTGCTGGCAGCTGGGTCCTGGGGGAGGGCAGGAGCCCCAGACAGACTGTTTTGTGTCAGTAGCTGCCCCTGTGGATGGCAACATCCTGCAAGATAAAGAGGAACCATTCTTTCCATTTCCATCCTCAGTCCCTTTGTGCCCCTTCCACTACCTGGCCCTGAGCTTTCCCACCATACTTCTTCAAGACACTGGGACCAAGGTCCCAGGTGGGTAAGTCCCTATTACACAGGTTGCCTTAATGCACTGGCAACCCCAGGTCTTGCCCAGAAGGGCTCAAAATGTAAGGGAAGGAGCAGAGGGAGGGTGGGGAAGATGACCAGAGAATGAGTAGTTTTGAAAGCAATAAAGGTAGTATTATCACTGCTTGGGTTAATGTGAAATCCTCATCTCCTGTGTGGCATCCAGTCATTGAAAGGAAGGTCCTCCACCTCATGGCTCTGGGGAAGGGTAGGCTGAGCGCTTAGGAAGGAAAAAAGAAGCTGTGGGCCAGCAGGGCCACGGGCAGATCTGGAGTTATCTATAGTCTCTGCTTAACCCAGCTCCACGTTACCTGCTTTGTAGGTGATGACTGCAGTGAGCGCTGTAATCTCGCCCATGGCTGCTGTGACCAGGATGGGAAGTGCAGGTATGGCTTGTCTTTGGCTCTCTGCTGCTTCTGACTGTAACTGCTCTCCCTCCCCTCTTGCTGTGTCTCTTGTGCCTGCCCTGAGCTGAAGCGCCTCCTCCTCCACTCACCCACACCTGGAATCGATGACTCTGCACTCTTCTTATCTGACACCCTCTGGAGTGGGAGATTTTGATCCCTCAGCCACTTCCTGGTGCCCTCCAGCCTTTGCTCCAGTGCTCCCAGAGTCACCACCTCCACATGCTGACCAGTGTTGTTCTGCTGAGCCCTTTTTGTCTAGATGGGAGCCTAGGACAGCCCGGCTGTGCCTGGGGGATTGGAGGCAGCCTTCAGGCTCAGAGGTAATGGGGAAAGCCATCAGGCAGCTGAGCAGGCATGGGAGTTGGCCAGCTTGCATGGCCTCCTCATTGGCTGAGGTAGAGATGCTCTCCCTGGGGGCATGGAAGAGAAGAGCTGCCAGCATGCACATAACTGAGGGCATCAGGGGTCCCCCCTCAGCAGGCTGGGCTATGGTGAGGATCTCTGGATGTTTTCATGACAGGCTTACTAGCAAGCTGGGGGCTACTGCAGCAGAAGTGCATTTGTGATCCCTGGCATGTCAGCTTGAGCTGGTGCCCATATTCCACAGGATCAAGGCTCAGGGAGACTTGACTGTTTACCTTGCCCCCTCCCTGGTACTTTTTAAGTTGGCCATCTGCCTTTCAGAGAAGGGGAAGAGTTGATGATACCTGCTCCCTTGCAGGTACTGGGGGATAGGGGTGTCCACAGCCTTCTGTAAACTCAGGGCTGTCCAGGTATGAATGCATCTCCCCAGACTCTATCAGGCACATGGTATCACCTCCATTTCCATCAAAAAACCCTCTAATTAACATATATATTTATTTTTTAACCATTTTCCTCATTCCCCATCTATTTGGGACAACATGCAATGACAACAGGCAGCCCAGGTGTGAAAGTGCAGCCTTGGGCCAGCCCAACAAAGCTGCAGTCATCACACATTGCACTGAAATGAGCCACAGCCATGAAAATGAATCCCCTTCCTTACTCTAGAAACTGTGTTGTTTTTGTTAGGTTTAATTTCATGCTGGTTTGAGTATAGCTTTTGTTGTGGCTTGGTGCTACCTCCACTCAGCTTTAATCTTGTTATCACTTGCTTTCCCCCTCAGAGCTGGCAGGTCTGAGGGATGCCTGCCACTCGAGCTAAGTAAAGCTTGGCTTTACTTAGCCACTGCCACTGCCCTACTCTTCTGGGACCAGAAGGCTCATTGTGTGCTGCAGGTTTTACCACTGTAGTGCCCTTGTGAGTGACTAATAAGTCTATTCTGTTCAACAGCCATGGCAAGCAAGGTTTCAGAGCTGGATTACCGTGCACTTCAGACAAAAAATGACACACATTATAATTCAAAGGGGTGCAGTGAAACACGTGGACCTCAGGGGCCTCTTGTTGCTTTCCCTCAGGGAGTTCAGGGTTAGGGATGGGCTTTTCTCTGCCTGTCAGACTGGCTGTGCGATGAGGGAGGTGCAGGAATTGCCAAGCTGATGCAGTGGTGTATACGGAGTGGCTGGCTGAAGGAAAGCAGAGAGATGTGGGCACTAAAAGTGAAGCTGCTGAGCTCTGTTTCTGGACCCCACCCTCCCTGGCTGCAGAGGGTGAGTCTGCCCCTGCTCTATCTATTTGCTTCCTTGGACAGATGAGGTGCCAGTGCTGACCTCCCCCAGAGGAGAGAGCCAGCAGGTCCATGGGGGGCTTTGGGAGAGTTTCTGAGTGCTGCTGTATCTGCAGTAACCCTTCATGACACACAGCCAGCTTTTCCACAGCCCTTGATTGGGTCTTATTGTGCTGCTATGCGCTGTCCTCCCACAGGTGTGATCCAGGCTGGGAAGGCGAGTACTGCGAGGAGTGCGTGCGTATGCCGGGGTGTCTCCACGGGACGTGCCACCAGCCTTGGCAGTGCATCTGTCACACTGGCTGGGCCGGCAAGTTCTGTGACAAAGGTGAGTCATGGGCTGGACATCCCAGCCTCCGGTGCTGAGGGCAGAAGCTCAGCACACCCTCCATGGATATGTGAGCCAGCACAGCCAACATAGTCAGAAGCCACCTGGGTGATGCCTCTTGGGCTGCCTGGGAGATAGGATGTTGCCTGGCTGCCATAGGTGGAACCATTCCCTTCCAAAAGAGGGAAGGCTCCAGGCACCTGCTCCCTGGCTGCATGGCAAGAGCTAGCATGACACTGGCCAGCCTCAGGAGATGGAGCAGGTGAACTCATTCCGTTTCTCATGGTGTGTCAGGACTCAGAGCAGCATCCCCTGCCTCCCCCAGGGCTTCCTGCCTTCAGCAGGTAGCTGATGGACTCCTCTTCTCTGACCTCAGAGACTCCTTTGTAGCATGGGGTCTCCACTGGCCAGAGAGATGGCATGCAAAGCATCTTCCACAACCACATAGGCACTGCACTTCTGTTGCTGCAGGTGCCCATTGGCGGGGAGGAGGGAGAAGCTCCTGTCATTTCTCCATCCCCACTGGGTTTGATGGGTTGTGTTTGCACTAAATTGGCCACATCAACCTTCTTTTCTGCCTAATTCCCACCTTTTTCTTTCTCCTCAGACATACACATCTGCGAACACCAGTCCCCATGCCAGAACGGGGCTCAGTGCATCTATGATCGAGATGGGGAATATTCCTGCTTGTGTCCAGAAGGTTTCCATGGAAAGGATTGTGAGATGAAGACAGGGCCTTGTGAGAAGGCAGGGTGAGACACTGCAGTGTTAACTACAGCCAGCATTGACTTTGGGTCACACGCTGCCAAGTGGAGGCCCAGCTTGGCTCATTATCTGTGGATTTCCATGCACTAGTGGAGTTAAGCCAAAATCATCTTTGGCTTTGGTTTAGCAGTGTGCACTGCATCGTCCTGCTGGGGCAACGTCTTTGTTGCAATCTGAGCAGATTGCTGTCCCTCACTGCTGTAGGTGTGATGAGCTGACACTTGTCATGCCTTTGGGGAGCATCAGGAGGGCATGTTTCCTCATCAGATCATTTGGCTGAAGACCTTCCCCAGTGGGTGGTGGACCCATGCAAGGTCACAGCCTTTGAGGAGGTTCCACAGCCTCTCACTCAAGGAGACAGAATTTCCCACCCCGTCTTCTCCTTGAGATAGCTGCCCCCATGGAGAGAGCTGGTGCTGGACACACTTGCCATGCAAGCGGCTCTGTGTGTTTACCTCCCTGGGGTGAGGGAAGTTGCTTGCTCTCCAGGGCCATGACCTCATCCTTGCTCTCTCCACACAGGTCTCCGTGCAAGAATGGTGGGCAATGTCAAGACGAAAACGGCTTCGCCAGCAACTTCACCTGCCGGTGTCTCGCTGGCTTTGTGGGGGCTCTCTGTGAGCATGACGTGGACGACTGCCTGATGCGCCCCTGTGCCAACGGTGCCACCTGCCACGACGGCATCAACCGCTTCTCCTGCCAATGCCAGGTGGGCTTTGAAGGGCGTTTCTGCACAATCAACATCAATGACTGTGCCAGCCAGCCGTGCAAAAATGGAGCAAAGTGCTATGACCGCATCAATGACTATGACTGCTTGTGTCCTGACCGTTTCACTGGCAAAACCTGTGAGATCTCCGTCCCAGAGCCCACCTGGTCTCCACCCTACCACCCTGCAAACCGCGAGAATGGCGGGGCTGTGGAAAGCACCACCAGTGAGATGCCGGGCGTGACGCAGCCAGAGCCTGTCAGGACTGCGGTCACGGGGCGGCGCGTGGCCAACCACAGTGAGAAAGAGCTGGGGGGAGGGTTGTTGAAAATCTCTGTGAAGGAGGTGGTGACCCAAAGAGACTCTGGGCTGAGCGAAGCCCAGCTGGTGACAGTGCTGGTGTTTGGGGTGCTGACAGCAGTGCTGGTCCTCATCACTGTCCTGCTAATGCTGAGGAACTGGCAGAGGGGCCGTCAGAGGTCGAACTGGTGCCAAAGCCCTTCTCAGGCTGCAAGGAAGCTCCAAGACCAGGAGTGTCAGGTGGGCATGCTCAACACCATCTTGATCGAGCCAAGGAAGACGACAGAGCTGTGAGCTGCGAGCTGCGAGGACTCTGAGCCAGGCCCTGGCAGGTCATCATGCTGGCAAACCCCTCAAACTGCATCCTGGGGAGCCGCACTGTCACCAACCGGGCAGCGGGGAAAGGCTTCCAGGGCAGCGAACACATCAACAAAACCCTGGGTGTTGAGCACTGGTGTGATGACCCTGCTTGGGTATGAGCTGTCTCCTGCCAGGCTGTCTCAGCTGGCACCCACGGGCACCTGAATGGGCTGTGTTGGGCCAGCCCTGCAAGGGAGCAGTGGTGTGCTGCTCAAGGCAGCCCATGTCATGCAGCGCCAGTATCATCTGACAGGAGCCCTCAGAAACAGGACAGGTAGTGCTGAGGAAGGCACAGCCCTCTTGCAAGCTGAAATACTGCCAGGCCCCTTGTAACTCCTCTCTGTGACTACTAGGAGGGGTTTGTCCTCATTTCTGATGGTGTTGGGATATTTCTTCTGGGGCCTTTGGGATGGTTGCCTCCCTGCCCCAGTACTGGATGGGGTAGTTCCTGGCTGTTTCTTGAGGCTGTCATTTCAGATGCCATGTCCCTAGGGAGCAAGCAGATACCCTTGCTCCCTGGTCTTGTGGTTCTGAGCCAGTTCAAAGAGACTCTGAAGACCATCTAAGGTCTCCTCATGCCCTTCTTCTGCCCTGGGTGATGCCCCCTCCTCTTACTGTCAGACTTGGGGTTACAAACATGTTTTGTACTTTCCTCCTGACGATCCAGGGGTCTTTTTGACCGACTTACCAAGCCGTCCTTTCTGGTCTGGCCACAGACGACCAAGCTCCTTCACCTCTGCAGTGTGCACTTCTGCCTCACTATTTGCTCCCCTTTGGGGTCCTCTGGGCCTGAACTGGTCCTTCTCATATGTCCTCATAGGTGAAACTGGAGATGGACAAGGCTGGAGCTGTGCTGTAGCTGGTTCAGGAGCAATACAAGATCCAGGTCCTCCTTTCTTCTCCCATTCACTCTGAGGCAGGCAGCTGGCACCAACCTCAAATCAGCCATTGTAGCGTTTCTTGATACAACAAAGGCTAAGCTCCTCACAGTGGATGTGAGGACAGGCTACCAAGCCTGGGGTGACCATAGGAAGCAGCCACGATACTGCCTTCTCTACCATTGCTAAAGCACGGCTAAGAGGCAATAGATTGGTCATGTCACTTAGCCTTTGTACTAGGTCTGTTCCTGCCTGTGCTGGTCTGGTGTTCAGCAATCAGTGTCTCTGCCAGGGGCTTCTGTGTCACCTCATGGGCACAGAGGGCTAAGCAGTGGGGTAAAAACCCCCACAACCCAAACCCTACTACTGGCTTGTAGGGTTGCAGAGCTGGGTTCCACATGGTGTAAAGAGAGCTGAGAAGTGAGCACTCAGGCAGGAGGGAGATTGGGAGAGGGGACTGGAGCTTCAGCAGAAAGATTATTTTTTTAATACATGGATGGATGATGTACCTTTATCAAATAAAACAAGCCCAGAAACAGTGTATCAGAGAATCATAGAATAATTTCAGTTGCAAAAGGCCTCTGGACACCAACCTCCTGCTCTCAGAGATCCAAGTGGATCAGGTTGCTGAGCTACTTGTTCTTGATGAGTATCTCCATCACTTCCCTCAAGAATGCAAACCCAGATTGTGGCTGCAGGGGTGGAGATGGCTCCTGCAGCCTCAGGGAAAGGAATGGCACCTAACTCAGGACAGCATAGCAAAGGTGTGTACAGCCTAGACATTGCCATGAGAGTGTTGGGAAGAAGGGGAAAACCTAAGACTGAGTCCAAGGGTGCTAATGGGAAGAGTAAGATCTAAAACTGAAAACAGCTGTGGGTTTGTGCAGCTGAGAGCAGGGCAGGAAGGACAGAGAGTTTCCCTTAAAGAAGTGGTCTTGAAATAAACTAGCCTTAAAGGCCTTTAATGTAATTGCATTCTGGCCTTCAGGGGAAGGCCTTCTCCACTGTAAACTGGACGAAAACAGCAAGGTCTCTGGGTGCAACCTTCTGGGCTTGGTAAGGTCAGTGCCTTCAGAAAGTAGAAGGGAGCAGGTAGGGTTGTCTTCGTGCAGAGTGGGCACCACTCTTGTATCTCATGAGGAGGTATGTGTCTGGGGAGGAAAAGGGACAAGGACCTGAATAACTGAGCTTCACAAGGAGGTTTCCACTTTATTTTACATTGCATATGTGAGACTAAGTCTCAAACTAGGAGTTAGTTACTGATTCTTCAATCAGTAGAAAAGCCCTCTGTAATCTCAAAGGGGAGCCTTAGAGGGGGGAGCAGTATCCCACCATCCAGGCTTGCATGACTCTAAACACTAGGTCGCATGTTCCCTATTAAAAGAAAGACCACAGCGCCATGCTCCTGTCCCTGAGGACAAATAATCGCTATCTGCAGGCAGGAATAAGCCCTTCTCTCACCTCAGCAGCTCCTGTCCCTGCAGGGACAGGGCTGATGGCTGAGCTTAAAGGAAAGCCAGGCACTGAGCTGGAAGGGCTGCCTGGGCACAGCCCAGGAGGGAGGTCATTGCTGCCTGCTGTGCAGGAGGTGCTGGAACAAGGAGCCATCTTTCTGGCTTAAGCGTGTGGGTGAATCCAACTCTGCCACTCTCCCAGCTTGCATCACCAGCACACGGTCTGAGTCCAAGATGGTGTTCAGCCTGTGGACAACAAATGCCAGGACATATGTTGGTGGATCTGAGGAGAAACTCTGGATACTGCTTCCCCTGCTGTTAAGGGTGGCCCAAGTCATGCCCAACAGTAGGATCTGTGGAGGATCTCCCTCTGCACTCAAGGTCACAGTGCAGTTCAGCTCCCCAGAGAGCCCCTGTGCACTGCTGAAATGCATTACCTCTCAGCAGACCATGGTGATACCTTCCAGCTGTTGGGCACGGCAGGGCACCAGGAATGCAGAGGGGAGTTCTGCATGCCTGATTCTGGGGTTGCACAAAATGTCTCCAGTCCCACAGGGGTTAGTGAATTGCTTCCGTTTGCCCCTACATTTCCTCACCTGCCACCTCCTGAGGGCGGCGGAAATGCACTTGTGCATCAGCTGTCATTCCCTAGCAGACTGGCATCCACAGGACCCACTGCACACATATGTGCCCAGTTCTGCCCAGACTGCTAGCAGGGCAGCAACCTCTGGCCCTGTGTGGGGAAGACAGGGCAGCAAGAATCCCTCTGTACAGTCGTGCACTGTTCAGTGTGGAACTACAGCCCTATAAAGCTGCATGTCACAAGGAAGACACTGCACAGGATTTGAGCAGGCAGAAAGCATTATGGAGTTCAGGACTCTGGTTACACATTCATCCCAAGAGTGTGCAGGCTGCAGCACTGGAAGTGACTTGGAGGGGCAAGTGACAAGTACAGAGTCATTTCCCATCCTAGATTTCCCCAATCCAATTAATGGTTCACCCAAAGCTGAATGGCAAGGAAGAACAATGGGTACAGAACAACCCCATCATCACCTCTCTCTCCTTACTGCTCTCCCCTATTGCTCTTCATTCAGTGGAAGAGGGACTGGAGCTATCTTCAGCTCAGGTTTGCTGCCTTGCCTTCTGCCACTCCTTCCTCTGCTGGTTCTCCTCTCTAATTACTCCTCCATTAGAGGTGGCCTCCCCACACCCAACCCAAACACACACCTCAGCCCACAGTGCCCTTGTGCTTCTATTCTATTTATGTATAATATCCCTAGTGTAGGAACCACATTCCCTTCACACTCCTCCTGCCTCCCTCCTACATGATGTATTTAACAAGACCCACTCGATTCACTTGCCAGGCCCAGCCCACCCTGCCTGTCATCCATCACTCCCACTTCTGTGCAGCAGGACACCAGCCCCTGCCACCTGCTCATTTGATTTTTATTTTTGTGGTAACCTCTGTGCTTTGAAAAAACCCTCCACACAATTTCATAATCCTCCTCCAAATTCTCCTCCACTTGGCAAGAGTAGGAGCAGAAAACACCGTCTAATGCTGGTCCACCCCTTCTCTGCGGTATTCATGTTTTGCCCTCCTCCCTCCAGCTGCAACCATCCACTGACCACTCTTACACTAAATCTCTCAGATGTGGGGCAATCACTGTTGTCCTGTCCTGCCTGGGCAATGTCTGTTACTGGAATCGGGTGCAGGCTGGGACCAAAACTCAGGATTTTGGAAAACAGAACTACCCAGGAGCTGGCTGCAGCCCTTTGCCGCTGGCTGTCCTGTAGTGCCCTCTACTGAGCTGGAGTCACCACCTTCCTGCCCCACCCCTGCCAGTCTCCACACTGCTCCTTTCTGTAAGATTACTTCTCCATTACTCTTCACCCTAATTTGGCAGAACCACAAGGCCTGATTCATCCACTCCACGGATCCCAGGAGGCAGTGCCCAGGAAGAGCAGTCTGTGACACGATGCAGCATTTTGCCCTTTGCTGACATCAATTTCTGGGGACAACATTTTCACGTCCAGTTATTCCCAGCATCCGGCAGAAAAGGCAACAGGCAAAGTCTAGCTTTTGCACTTGAAAAACCTTATCACAGAGACCTCTCTGCTCAGCTTGAGCCCCAGGCATGGCATGTGCAGGCACCTCTACCTGTGAGTGGCAGGACAAATTTAGGCGCAGAGTGCTGCTTCCTCCATACCTGTGAGCAATCGTCAAAACAGTTTTGTCAGCGAAGCGCTGGCGGATGGTCTGCTGCAGCAGCTGGTCTGTCTTCTGATCCACACTGGCTGTGGCCTCATCGATGCACAGCACCTGCCAGGGACAGAGTGTGAAGGGAAGTCCCAAGCACCACAGCAGAGACCCCAATCCCTGCCTAGAGACAGCCTGCGAAGTTAGCACAGGATGTCTGTTCTCATCACACCTCCAACTCTGCAGTGCTCTCCTCTGCTGTCCCCAGACAGCCATCAGCAGCACCCTCCCCCTCACTCCGATGGAGCTAAGACACTCACCTTGGCCTGTGTCAGGAGGGCCCTTGCCAGACACACCAACTGCCTCTGTCCCACAGACAGACTCTTTCCCAGCTCGCTGTCCAGTCCACCTGCAGGGGTCAAGATCAGCAGTCACCCCACCTGCACAGGGTTCACAGGGTCCCAAATGGCACCCCCAGTCCAAGGTTTTCCTAGTAGCACAAAAAATCCCAATCCTGCTCAGGCCCAGGCCTTGGGAACAGTAGTCTTTACACTTAGACAAGCAACATCTGGCACAGAGATGCCATGCTCCCCTAGAACTAAGGCCTGGCTTACCTCTAAGGCACTGCTCTAACATCCACTGAGAACTGGTCTCATCACCAACATTCTGCCACCCAATCCATCACCTGCTAGTCCCTTGCCACTAAATCTCAGAGAATGCCACTGGGTCCTACCAACCTGTTCCCACGCTGGTTTCTAGCATGACCTCACCTAACTCACTCTCTACGGCATCCACCTGGCCCCTTTTCCTCAGCTCCCTGAGCTGAGGCCTCCTCTCCTCTCCCAGCACCAGTGCTCACCAGCTGCTTCTCTCTGGGTTCCAACTCACCCATCTGAGTAACAGCATCCTGCAGATGGCACTGCTCCAGTACTTCATGGAGCTCAGCATCTGTCCATTTTCCCTGGGGGTCCAGGTTCTCTCGGATTGAGCCACTGAACAAAAATGGATCCTGGGGGATGATGGCCAGCCTAGATCTGCAAGCAAATGAGAGCTGAAGGCTCATAGGATAGGTTCTGCAGAAAAGCAAAGGCCTACTATTTTTTTCACGAAGTGTCTTAGCTTGCTACAAATCTTAGAGGCACAGAGACAAGGGTCATATATTCAGCCTGGTTTCCTTAGCACAGCTGTTCAGAAACAACAGAGGAACTCATAAGAAGCTGCCACAGTCAGAGAAGAGGGTGCCTTGACAGTGAGTCCTTTACTCCTCACTCTTCACTTTGGCATCCAACCACTGACAGCTCTCAGCCTCCAGGCCCCGTCAGCTCCCCTTCACTCTGCTCAGCCCTCCATACCTCAGCTCCTCCAAGCCCACCAGCTGGCTGTCAACACCATCCAGGAGAATTCGGCCTGATTTCAGCTCCACCATACGGAAAAGGGCCAAGAAAAGGGTGGATTTTCCAGATCCTGTGCGACCCACAATCCCCAGCTTCTCTCCAGGATAAACAGTGAAGCTCACACCGTCAAGTGCATTAGGCAAGCCTGCTCTGTAGGCCAGGACCACTTCCTGGAACTCCAAAAGCCCCTGGCTTGGCCAGTCAGCAGCAACCTAAGAGGGATATCCAGGTGAGAAAGGGTATGATAGTGATTGTCATCTTCAGCCCCACCTCCCCACAGGCCAAGCCCCCTCCCTCCCTTCAGATGGCTGCTTGGCTTCTGAGCAGAACCAACATAGAGCTCGGTTCCAACTCCAGCCCACTCCTGGGATTGTGTTTCTCTCACAGCTATCTAGCACCTGTTCTGCTCCCCTAGTCCTTCCCATCATTCCAGCCTTCACCAACTCCTGCCAGAGATTCATCCTTCCCAGGGGATGTACTGGTAAAAGATGCATGATC